CCCGAGGGGTGAGTCTGTGAATGATGCAGAACTCTATATGATGTGCTACACCTCTTCTGATGTGGCGGCCCATGAGGTACATAGGAAAGGTGTAGGGTGGAATTGGTGAAATGTGATATCAAGTCTGTTTTTTGCCTTCTTTCAGCTCACACAAATGATTTTGAAGTTAGGTTTTGAATTTAATGGTCTTTTGCAGAAATGGGACCTGAAGAGGGCAGCCAAGGCTTTAAAACATTTGGCTCCAAGCCTCTCTATGTGTTCTGTCTTGATGCCTGTACACTGATCAGTTTTAACCCAGTCTCTATCCAATGAAACCCGTCATGTGCAGCATCCAAAACTATGCAGTCTTGAGCACAAAAACTCCCAAAGCCTAGCTTATGTATGCTATGGACTTGCTCCACTTTGATTTGTTGCCTGTTACAAACAGTTTGATTTACTTCTAGTTAGGAAGAACACAATAAAAAACAACTAAACTAGGAAAGGTAAATCAATGATAACTCATCACTTGTTGAATTTGTTTCCCACCTTTTTCTGAACATGGAATTAAAACAAAATACAAAAAAAAGCCCCATGATGCCAACGAAGTTTTAAAATATTAAATAAACGATTGTGTTAAAACATAGTAATTTAAAACAACACCAAAAGTTTTTAAAAACCATTCATTCTTATATAATATAATATATAAAGATATCGGTAATTCTTAAGTCCTGAGGCTATCCTCATATCAACATCTTTAAGTTATTCTCCTTTATCCATTTATATTATTTTGAGAGGAAGAAGAAAGGAAATTCCAGGTGTTTTCTTCTTGTTGTTAGTACCATTATAAAGAAGAATGGAAGTTTATTACCCCCCCCTTTTCTTCTTCTTTTTTTCTTCTCTCTCTTTTTCTTATTTTTTTTAATGTCCTGCCCATGTTTCCTGGTTTTCCCCTCAACCCCAACCCTAACCCATTCCAATACCTAAGCCCTAACCTGATCCATATCCTAACCCTACCCACACTCCTTTTATGGTCCTTATCCCTTATCCTTTTAATGCTCACCCTTGAAAAAATTCAATAAAATTATTGAAACATAAAAACAATTAATGTTTGTGCTACAGGAAGTTGATAAGACATCTAGACTCTAATAATTGCAAGTGTTAACTTTCTTTGGCAAAATGTCACTGGGCTCCTCTGAATCTGTTGAATAGCATACCAGCAACACTTCTGAAAATATAGTCAGAGCTCCTTTAAACTCCATTATCCCAGTTATTGAAAAGATCTCAAAAGCCTTGGCAATATGCTACCATTACTGCATGGGCATGAAACATTATGATGAAATAAGGATGATGCTCACTGTTAAAGAATGTTCTGTTTTCCACCAAAGGACTATTCAGAACATTCAGCAATGTAATAAACAAGGCATGCATATTCAGCAGGACAGAAAGCGTCAACTAGGGGGAAGGGCAAAAATAAAAACAAATCTGAGGAGGCTACATGTATATCTCCTTAAAAAGATTCCCCAAAAGGTATCCTTCCTCTGGTCATGTTCTGTAATTTTTCCAGGAGCTGTAACAAGGCTTAAGATCATACCCTCTCCTTGTGCTGGTCAGCGACTGTAATAAAGGTTTGCGTTGTAATACCCTCTCTGGGATCCTTTCCCTTCCATTTGTCAAGGAAACCTGGCTTTATGGCAAGGGCTCAAAATAACACCATCTCTGGGTTCCTTTCCCTTTGGTTTTTCAAAACAAACAAAAAAAAAAAAACAAACCCCTGGATTTATGGCAAGGGCTTAAGGTAGTATCCTTCCTGGGACCCTTTCCTTATACACAGCTTGCATACGACACATCATTGCGTTCTTCTATTCTGATTGGCCCAAAAGGCAGAGCTCACAGGGAAACCCCATGCAAGCAGAACTCAGCAGCCTCTCCATGCCACATGGTGCCAAATAGAGGAGGAGCCACAATCAGCTGTCACATGGTCCCATACTGGATGAAAAATGTGACAGCTAAGCCTTTACCATTATGGCCACCCGGCCAAGCCAAACAAGCTGGATTGGCTGAAGGGAACCGACCACTCTGAATCTGTGCACAAGCCTAATATCTCAGGATCTGATCCCAGTTTTTCTGCTTTGAACTGGATTATATGAGTTCTCACTGCCAGATCATCTGGGATAAACAGAAAACCTGGGATCAGATTATGGTATATAGGACCTATCTGGAGGGGCCCACAGATCTCACCTTGAAAATAGACAAGAAGAAAAAAAACTTTGATGATGTAAACAAAGCATACAGGAGACACAGCATTTAGCTAACAACATGTCTCATTATGTTCTTATGGTGCCCACCTAGAATCCACTGATAGGCTTTACAACACTGGGACCTCAAATAGAAAGAAGCAAGCTCTGCCATGGTAAAGTAACTGCTCAAAACCAACATGAGATGAGTTCAAAAGTTTTCAGCACATATATGTACTTTTGTGAGTAGTCATGTATCACAGTTCATGCAAGTACTGTTTCTGCTGTTCTACATCAACTATAAGAAATCTGTATTTTTCAGTTCCCTGCTCAGAAGTATGGCCACTGTGATCAGAGGGGATTATTTTCAGATAAGTATAAAAATGCAGCTTAAAATACACATAAGCTCTCCTTTTACTGTTTCATGTATTAAACATTTGTAAGATGCTGACTTACTTTAAAAACTACTATCATTCAAATGACAATCAAATACAAATTAACATCAACCCACTTTAATTTGACTTTCTAAGGTCTCCTGATTTCAGGAACTGCCCTTCTACTAAGGTCACTATGTTTTACATTGTGTTGTCTCTTAATTTTATCAGCAGATATCAGCATGAAATGTGTCTACATGTACAAATCTCTGGCTTATTTCTACAGTTCTTGAACACAAAGTCTTGACATTTTATTAAATGAACTCTTACTAGCTGTTCCAGATGTCCAAGTCATAGGCCCTACGGGGCTATAGAGACCGTGTTTAAATTAATGATTCTAGACAGTTTTGGGATCCAGAATACAGCTTCTGATTAAATACTCCTGCCAAACACAGTGACCGCCTCACATATCTTGCTGAAATTCTCCACTTTAAAGCCTGCTCCCAATTTATTACTTAATTAACGGCAACTAATCCACTCCATACAAATAGTCTGGCTTCCTTACAAATCTCCCTGGCTGGATCTTTTACTTTAGGGTTTTCATTACTGTAGATACAGTTAATAAGTGATGGCCAAATGCTTGATGTGAAAAGAGTGAACTACAATGGTTACAGCGATAATTAAAGTGACAACACTATTTCAATGAAAAGTAGTAGACAGTTTTTATTTGTTTCTGGCTCATGTTGCCACTGGAGCATTTACAGAGCACCACAGGCATTTTAATTGCAAAAGGCAACTCTTTCCAAAACCAAAGCTAGAAATACAACCCTCATTATCAAGCATTTAGTGGCATGAAAAGATAGGGCAGTCTTAGTGGCAGGAGCTTAGAAAGTGAGTTTTACATAACAATCTTTACTATTACACAGGAACCCCACTGGACCAGTGGGGTTCCTGTATAACATTCTTAGCTAGACGAAACAGATGGGTCACATTCAAAATCTCATGCACCAGCTGCAGAAGCAGAGAAATAAAGCCAGGTGTTCTTTTAGCCATTAGTCCTACAAATTTGCCTTTTTCTCCCCACCTCTCAATCCCATTGCCATATTTGTCAAGTTCGTCATAGGACAAGTCTCAGGGCAGGAACTTGTCTCATTGGGTGTTGTCAACAGATTCAGGGTTCTATTTTTACCAAAGAGCAGACTTCACTGTCCTGAACTTCAACCCACAGTCACTCATCATTGGTTGTGCTGGCTAGGCTGACAATAGCTGCAAGTCAACAACACCAAGAGAACTATTGTTGTACGTTTCTGCTTTAAATACATATTGTGAGTCCAATATCACTGATTAGAGTCAAGGTTTACTATAACATATTTTGCAGCAAATCCATACAACCGCTCTCAGCATTCTGCTCAGCTACCTTATTAGTAAGTATTTGCTCACTTAGTGGGTTCAACAATAGCTTAGTCTGCTTATTGTTACCAACAGATGTATCAAAATTTTACACTGAAATAATTTATTGTATTTATCACTTAAATTATTGTTCTTTCTTTACATTTTGAATGGATCCATTCTTTGAATTTTTTCCCAAACTATTATGTTTGCTTTGTTGTATTATTGTTGGCCATTGGACTTCCTATTTCAAGAAAAGATGAGTGACAAATAATGAAATGAATAAAATATTGTCTTGGTTGTCTTCTGCTAGAGACATACTTTGAACGTATCTTTCAGTCTGACTCTATCCCATTTACTTCCCTATCATTTTACCCTACTACCGGAAGGAAGCAGGAAGGGGGCCATTCTGGCTTCCCTGGGCAGGGAATTCCATAGTTGAGGGGCAGCCTCCAAGAAGGCCAGCTATCTTATTCCCAGCAACTGAGCTTGAGATGGAGATGGGACCGAGAAGGGCCTCTCCTGAAGATCTCAGGGCCTGGGCAGGCTCGGACATGGGGATGTGGCCAAACAGCCTAGACCCGAACCATCTAGGGCTTTAAAAGTCATCACCAGCACTTTGAATTGTGCCCAAGCTGGTCCTGGGAAAAGGTTGCTTTTTAAATTTAAATGATGCAGAGAAGGAGCGAATCACCATTTCTAGGGCTTCTCAAGACTGGCAATTAACAAGCGATTTGCTAGGAAAAAAGAAGGCCTAGAGGAGTGGGTGAGGCAATTAGAAGCCTCCTGCTGCCTTTCACAGCTACATTTTTTCCAACTCTGTTCCTCATGTACAGAAGATTTCTAATGTGGAACAAATTTTGTATATCTTTACCAGTATGATAACTGATTTGCCTGAACGGGTTTAGAAGAAATAAAGACAGATATCAAGACAGAGGGAGATAAAAAATAACTATATACATCCAAACAGTTGTTCATAAACAAAAATTCCAGAACATTACTAGAATTAAGTAAGAATGCTTACAATAAATCCAAGTTTCTTGTAATCTCTGGTATACATGGATTTGCGTTTTTCCACATTGCCAGCACTATTGTTGAGTTCAGATTCTGCATCAAATGCAATTCGCCTGAGTTCAAAAATGATATCCCTCTGTGCCTGGTGGGGTTTAAAAATAAAATGTAGAGGATTTGTTAGGTTCTTATATATAAGTACACACACACACACACCCCTTTCATAAAAGTTTCTCTTTAGAATTCAAAAACAATGCACCTGTTAATCTATTTTTTGCTTCCTTTCTAGAAATGTCCTTGACTGTTTCCATTAGTTGATACCACTTTTTCTATGCTATCCCATTCTTTCATGGTCTAGAACTAGTATTCTGCATAAAAAACCGAGGGCAAAAAATTAACAGGAAGCCGTTTTGAACAAAATCAGACCATTTGTCCATGTATCATCATCACCATCATCATCGTCATCATCATAACTTATATTTCCACTTCGCCTTTCTTTCTCCCCATAGAAAGTCAAGGTGGCTTACAATAACATGACACAACCCAATAAATTTAAAAACATGGCAAATACAAAAATTGAAATGAATGCAAGTTTAAATACAATAAAATTATACTATTAAAATTATATTCAAAACTAAAGATCCTCCCCAACTACCATCTACAACCTCCCAGCAGCGTGCTTCTCATGCTCTCCCAAATTCCTAATTACAAATAACTTGCTCCCTCTTGGGAGTTCCAAAATCTGGGAGCAGCCACTGAAAACATCCTCTTCCTTGTTCCCACTGAAGCTGATGGTGGGACAGAGAGAAGGCCCTCTCCAGAGGATCACAAATTTCAAACAGGTTCATATAGAGAAATACAATCAAATAACCTGGACCTAAGCCGTACCAGAGTGCCATTTGCACTGATTAGCAGTAGCTCTCCAAGGTTTCAGAAAATAAAGTTGGCCAGTTTTACTTGGAGCTGCCAGAGAGTTGAAATTTTTGGTACGATAAGTATGTACAGGCCATAATTGGCTGAAATTAAAATTACTATAGCATCTGGTACAGGAAAGAAGAAATATATCTCTGCCAAATAGCTGAGATTTTCTTTTCTTTTCCCTTCTACCACACATTCCAGATGTAGAAGTTAATGTATTTGGAAAGCCTATGATTTATACTGAACCTGACAACTATGCCAGAGTCTTTTTTGGCACCAAGTAAAGCCCTTTTGTTCTCAGCCTTTTATATATACAGTATATTCTGGCGTATAAGACTACTTTTTAACCCAAGAAAATCTTCTCAAAAGTCAGGGGTCGTCTTATACGCGGGTGTAGTCTTATGCATGGGAGTCGTCTTAACTCTATATTTTAACTGGAAAAGTTGGGGGTCGTCTTATATGCCCAGTCGTCTTATATGCCGGAATATACGGTAAATGGATTTAGCCATTTTATCAGCTCTCTATTATGTATTTTATTTTGATTTGTTGTAATTGTTGAGCTTGGCCTCATGTTAGTCGTCCTGAGTCCCCGCTGGGGAGATGATGGTGAGGTATAAATAAAGATCATAATCATCATTATCACCATCACCATCACCATCATCATCATCATCATCATCGTCATCTTGTACCACTGTTGTTCCCCACTGTTAGCTTTACATCTTATAGCAACACCAGAGGCACTCTAAGTGGCTAGCTACTGGTCAAAGGACATTTAACAAAATGTCAAGTTTGCAAACTTTGCGTGTGTGTGTGTGTGTGTTTTAGGTTTTTTTAAAAAATATAATACAACTGTTTGGTTCACTCCTGAAATGATAAATATAGATTTACATCTGGATTTACTCTGTTTTGGAGAGGGTTTTTGAACTTTATTATAAAATATATATGGTTAATAAATATTCAGTTTTCCTTTGTTTTAGAGTTTAAGCACCTGTGTTATCATATTTCATTGCCTTATAATAATAATAATAATAATAATAATAATAATAATAATAATAATAATAATAATCTTTATTTATACCCCGCCACCATCTCCCCAAAGGGGACTCGGGGCGGCTAACATGAGGCCAAGCCCAAAAATAATACAGCAAAGTTAAACTCAAAATAACAGAAAAATTATATCACAACAAAATACATATAGTAACAAAATAAAATAAACAGTGCAAAACAACATAGTAAAAGCACACACACATACATTTCCAACAACTTCTGTTATTGAAAATCATATCGATACTTTCATTAGCAGCCTTAGATATTCCAGAAAGCACAGCCATCTGCCATCAACACTTCTGGAATGCCTATAGGAATGCTCCAGATCTTTACCAAAAGCAGCTGGCCACACTTCTTGCACTGCATCGCTCCCTTTCTACTCAATAGCCTTACATGCTATTTATAATGCATGTGCAACAGACATTTCCCCACTCAATTGAATGGTTTTCCAGCTTCTGCAGAATAAATGCAGCCCTATATCGACATTATTTTGCCTACCTGATCTTGAGGATCCATTTTGGTCATCATTCTGTCTTCTAGTAAGTTAAAGGTAAGAACTTGCAGAACATAAAGCTGATGTGCCATTTCATTATTGATGGCCCTCTGGGCTCTGATAACATGCTGAAAACAATAGCAATTATGAGAACAGAACAATCAAAAGATAGCTTCCATCTGCATCACTGAATTTTTGGGAAAATTTGGAGAAATAGAAGGAATGAGGCATATTGATAGACAATGAAAAATATCTAATAATGCAAGGAAAATGTTAATGCTTGAAAAATGAGTTTTATTTTTTACTATTATTTGTTGCAGTTTTAGTTCTTTTCAATTGTGAGTATGAAAAGAATATAGGACACAACTGCTCTTCAATGACCGAACTTCAACAAAACACAACAGCCATTCCTACAAGTGAACCAAACCCTGTAGTGTAGGTTTAGGACACCTCCAGCCTTCTGGTTGTTTTAGATGACAGTTTTCCCTTGTCATTGGCTATCATGGGCAGGCCTAAGAAGAGTGATAAGTCCAAACTCTTAAAAGACCAATAAGTCTTACTCTTTTTCTCCCCAGATATTAGGCAAGCCCCCATGCTAGCAATCTTCAGGAGGAACCTGAAAATCTGGTTATTCCAATGTGCCTTCAATGATTGAATGTAAGACACTCCCTGACCAAATTTCGCACAAATGACCTCAGAAGCACTTTATTTTATGGTTCGTGCAATTCCTTCCTTCCTCAATCCGGATCCCCTTCCCCAATAATTTCCATTGCCCAATCTTCCAGTGTTCTAATTTTTTTAATCCTTAAATTTGGCCCTGCCTTGTGCAATCTTGTGTGTCTAATGTCCGTTTTTATACTGTGTCGCTTATTATATTGGTTTTGCATTTTATGTTTTTTTATTTTCTAGTTCTGTTATGCTTTGGTGTTATATTGTGTTATGCTTTTGTGTAATATTGTGTTAACTGTACCGATGGGCATGGCCTCATGTAAGCTGCCCCGAGTCCTCCYGGGGGAGATGGAGTGGGGTATAAATAAAGTTGTTGTTGTTATTATTATTATTATTATTATTATTATTATTATTATTATTATTACTATTCTGAAGTTTCAAAGACCACTTTCGCTATTCTGTTCTGACAGTCCTTTGTCTTTTGCAATTATAATTATAATTCCATCCTCCTATTCTCTAGCACAGTTATGCAATACAAGACCCAGCAACCACATTGAAGCCAATGGATCAATTATGTATTTTTGCAACTTGTCAGTGACAGCAAAAACAGTAAGTCTGTTAAGCCTTGGACAGGAACAAACTCATATAGGTATATCTCAGTTCATGATGAAAGTGAGTTCCTGGGCATTACTTTTTTCCAATGGAGAATTTAGTACCAGAGCAAGAAATAACATGGGAATAATAGGGATACCTATTTCAATAAACTTTGTATTCAAAATGATTAACATGCACATGTGAAATGAAACAATGAGGCCAGGCAAACCTTGCATAAAGACGGAAAAAACATGTTGAAAATTCTAGAGCCCACCCAAGGGCCTCTTTCAAAATGCAACAAACGGTTTTGCCTTTTACCAGCTTCCACTTTTTAAAAGATTCCCATTCTGATAGCTAAATTTATAGATTTATACTTTTAAAAATATTGCTGGGAGTAGCTGGTGAGCAGAATCCTCCCAACCCCTGCTTTACTGTTCATATATATTCAGTGAAGGATTCTGGGGGCAACTACTGTGCTTATTGTAGGAAGGCAAAAAGAACCACAGTAAGATCAACGAGATTAGAGTCCCATTTTTCCCAGGTCACCTTTTATTACCTTGTTTACTGCAGACATGCTGCTGCAACCCAAAAAGTCTGTGTTCATCTTTCACCACCAACCCTATGAACACTATCTATCTATCTATCTATCTATCTATCTATCTATCTATCATCTATCGTATCTATAGTATCTATCTATCTCCAGGTAACAAAAGGATAAGGAGGTAAAGACAACTTGGCATGTGCAATAAGACTTCGTTGTCGAAGGCCTTATGAACTGGGGGTAAGCCTGTAATTTGGTTTGAGAAGTTATCAGCTGAGGACACCTGCACAAACCCAAACCTCTGCTTATGATAGAATACCCTTAAAATGCCACGTAAAGAAATAGGAATTACATCGATATTGTTATATAGAAAAATGAATATAGTAAAAAATACTCACTTGCAAGATAATTCCCCGAAGCTGTTTCTGAGCTAAAATATTTGCCATCTCCTAATTTTGTAAAAATAAACAAACAACAAGAATAAAGTAAATTTTGTGTGTGATCCAGTTAGGAAGCTACTAGAAGTTAACTATAATATATTTTATGGAACAAAACATTTATCTTGTTATTGCTAGTTACTTGATAAAACATGGGGAGAAACTGACTGTGCACGTTCTGTTCCCAAGAATTGTTAAGAAAGCCTATCCTTGTCTGCACGCATGGGAACATTATGAAGCTTGCTTCTCCTTCCCCAATGAATTTCATCTGCAAAGTTATCTTCCCCATTGCTTTCTGCTCGCTGTTTCTTATCTACTTTTTATCCAACTTCCTTTATTTCTTAAGACTAGGAAACACCTCAGGAAGGCCTATTTTAAGAACTATAAATCCAGCCATTAATAGCAATAACTCACCTGTCTCCTGTCATCAGGTGCTTTAAGGAAAAGTGCATTTATGACAGCAATGGTGTAGGTTTGTATTTCCTGATCTGCCCTGCATCAGAATACAATTTTAAGAATAGTAAAGGAATGTCAAACAACAGGAGACTTTTCCCAAGAAGTCAACATTTTGAAGGTAATTTAAAATAAAATAGAATATTGAAACACAGATAAGCAATACCCTAGTAATCGGCCTTTTGTACATTGACTCATATTTATTTATGTGTTGCTTTTATTGACTTAGTGGCAGCTTTTAATTCAATCAATAGAAACCTGTTATGGCACAAATTCACTAACATTATAGATAAGTGCCTATTATTTCTAATCAAGGAACTCTATTTTGATGCGTCTGCTAAAATAAGATTTAGCATTTCAAGCTCACCAAGCCTATCCAGATGGATAAAGGAGTAAAGTAAAGATGGTTATTGGTAACATCACTCTTTAATTTATATCTGAATGATATAATTCCAACATTGTCTGGCTCAGAAATTTTTTTCCACCCTCAGTTGGGTCAAATAAGTTGTCTATTCTTTTATATGCTGATGATACAGTTTTAATTTCACTTACATATAGGTCTAAGAAGGATTCTGTCTAATTTGAGTGGATTTTGTTCTAGAGAAAAGCTGAACATCAGTTATACCAGAACAAAGGCGGGGTAGAAATGCTGGAAGTAAATAAATAAATAAACTAATGCAGAATTTTAAAAGATTCTTTAGTGAGGGTCTTTCCCAGATTATGTTTTGAATAGCTATCAAACTGCAAAGTTTGGGATTAAAGATATCAAAAGTTGCTGCAATCGTATCCTACTCTGCTTGACAAATGTTCTGTCTTCAACTCAAAAGTGGTTTGTGAATACATTTAAACCATAGTATACAACTGGATACCCAGGGTATTAGCAAATCCAATTTTTCAAAATGGTTTAGACTATATAAATTCTACCATCAAAGGGACGTTTAACAGGAAAAGATTACATTTCCAAAACTTTAGAAAGCTTTTAAGTTCTTCATTTTCAAATTGAGGATTTGCCACATGATTTGTTGAACATTATATTCAGAGCAAAGAGTCAAACTCTTGGAATCTATTTGGTCTAATTTATATTCCAGTAATGTGTCAAAAAAGATTTTCTATCTCTTATGTGATACCAATCCTATGGTAGCTTGCAAGATTTCTCTTTTCACCCAGGCAGCAATGAAAATTTGGGCAAAATTTATTGTTGATATTGCAGTTGATTACTATGGGGATGCTCTTAGCTAACTGAATGTTACCTAATCTAAATTTTAATATCTACATTTTAATATTGTTTATATTTGATGTGTTATATTGTATTTTCTTGATACTGTAATGACATTGAATTATAAAAAACAAGACACCTATGATCAACTGAGGAGGGCCTTCTCTCTGTCTCACCATCTGCTCAAGCATGCTTGGTGTGAACATGGGAAAGGGCCTTTTTGGTGGCTGCTCCCAGGCTGTGGAACTCATTCCCAAGAGAAACCAGGATAACACCATCACTGCTTGCCCCCCCCCCCCACAACAAGGTCAAGACCTTTTTTTTGCCAGCAAACCTTTGGAGAAGGTTGAGTAAGGGGCACGCTGTTGGGGAGGTTGTGGGTGAGATTTGGGGGAGATTATATATTTGAAAATGCATTTTAATTGTATTTGTTGTATTTTAACTGTATTTTTAACCTAAGTCACACAATATTCTTTAATTGTTTTTATTTTTTATTTTTGCATTCACTTTGTTTTAAATGATAACCAAAGTGTGTGGTTGATAGCCACCTTAAGTCTCCATAGGAAGAAAGGCAGGGTATAAATAAAATAAGTAAATAAATAAATAGATCTGTATGGCATTTTTATGTAGTACATTGTTTACATTTATATTGTATAATTTGTTTATGTGCAACTGGCCTATAATCTAGGCAATAAAAATCTACAGATATACATTGAAAAAAAGAACTGGGGAAGGGAACACTAACACTCTCAAAAGAATTGCATTTTAAATCAATAGAAAGTCTTTCAATTAGTTTGTATTATGCTGTACTTTGCATCTTACTCTTTTTTCAATGCAGTGATTGGCATACCATGAGTCGGTCTATATTTTTGTCAGAATGACAGTAATATGGTTAGCTTGGCAAAGGTTAATTATCATTAAAGATGTCCAAGTGATATTTGTGGCATAACATATGCTACAGCAGAAGTTGTTCTTTTGCAGAGAGGAAAGTCACTATATGCACTCAGGGAAATAAAGGTAGCAAATGGCAAGCTGGCCAATTCTGTTCTTCTCCTTAACCATCATCTAACAGTCTCCTTTCTGGTATTTTTTTTCCCCATGAGGAGCCAGAGCACACACAGCCTTCTACTCACAGAGAGTCCAGATCATAGCCAAACCTTGGTGATAACTTAGTTCTAGCTGATGGTATAGACTCCAATGTCATATCAGTTATTCAGACTTTTTAAAGAGATTACTCACTCTATCTTTTATGCCAAGATTGAAAAAAATGAAGAAAAAGAACAATGGATACTACCACAAACTACTCACCCTTGTAGAGGTGAGATTAGCTGTCCAATGGTAATCTCTTGCGCCACCTTCTGGTACAGATCGTGGCTATTCAGCACCATTGATTCTAAGATGGCTAATGAACGCTGCAATATAGCAATGTCAGTGGGGAATTTGCTCACATAACCAGCTATCTAGAAATAAATACCAAAGAACATGAATGAGACTTTACTGGGTGAGAAAGAAACGTTCTAGTAAAATAAATACTTTAATATGCATTTTAGGCTGCAACAATAAAGACAAATGGTGGAATAATAATAATACACTCAGTTTTGATTTCAATATGGTTAATGAAGAGTATGAAACGTCTTTCCAAAGTAATTTGTCCTGTTACCCTGCATAACAAGAAAGCTGTTGCCATAAATTACTGGAATGGTGAAAACAAGTAACTTTTAATGTTAATTCATGTGCTACAGAGACATGGAAAAATTCTATAAAATATCTAGTAATATGTCTCCTAAATATTAACTTATAAAAGTAACTCAAAACTATTGCTTGTTATATCAAAACAGCAAATTTGGCATCATTACGCCTTTGTTATGCTAGTTAGAGTAGAATGTATTGTGTATCATGTTATTTCCAAGCTGAAAACATGAACAAACACTAAAATCATTTTAGTAGCCTGTTGGCCTCCTTTTTACTCACATGCTGCCTCCCCCCCTCTCCCCCGAGAAATCTTTTCTAGTGTTGAAGGCCTCCGGAAGTGCTTTTTTAAGTATAAAAATATTATTACAAGCTGCAGGTTTCTCAGTGCCACGTTCTGAATGAAATTATGAAGTCAAAATGTACTTTCAAAAACTTCAGGTGGATCTGGGATGAAAATTTGTCTCCTAGATGGTTTGACTATTGAACTTAATCCTAATATGTGGTTCCTAGCAATAACAAAAACATCACTATAGGCTGTTCGAAATTGTTACTCTGTGATGCTTGATCCCTGATGCTGCTGTAATAGAAGTTTCCGTATTGTTTCTAAGAGAGAGCTGGCAGAACTATGGAAAATGGTGCGCACGGCCTGCACTTTCAATTGAATGTATGGGAGAAGGGGCAGACACAGAATACGTGAAGCTGATTACATATTACAACCTACCTTTTTAATGAAAGCCACAGAAAATGTGTCCCAAGATACAATTCCATGATCCATCAGCTCCACAAATGCAGTCAGTGTGAAGGATAACATATCTCCAAAGCTGGAAGAGACATGAGCCACAGCAGTAATGGGACAGGGAAACATGTGAGGAGAAGAGGACAGCCTTCTGGAGCAAGGAAGAGCAAAGCAAAAGTGTGCAAGAGGAAGCAGAAGCAGAGTAAAATGGAAGCTGTAAAGCGGAAGCAGTGCTGGAAAAGTAGCAAAATGATTCAGTTTGGAAATTAAGCTCTGTTTCTCTCAAAGGAAACATTTGCATATTTCTAATGGATTTCAAAACACAGAAACGAAACAGAACAGAAATAAAAAAGTCTCTTCCCAGTTACTGATCTTGTGTTGTTTATGGATAAGTATCAAGGAAAGTCATAGGCCCCATCTATAATGACCATTTAATGCTATTCGAAGCTAGCTTCAAACTCTGGTGACCAGACAATAAACCTCCACTAAAGTATGCAAAAGCAAAAAGCCCTTAATGTAGACCAGTTATCTGTGGTTTGTTTAATCACCATCAGGTCCTTAACCTTGTTCCAGGATTTCCTGTGCAATTATCTACACCAGGGGTCCTCAAACTTTTTAAACAGAGGGCCAGGTCACAGTCCCCCAAACTGTTGGAGGGCCGGATTATAATTTGAAGAAACAAAGCAAAAACATGAATTCCTATGTAAACTGCAAATATCTTATTTGTAATGCAAACCCCCCCCCCATTAAAACAATACAATAATTAAAATGAAGAACAAATTTTAACAAATACAACCTTATTAGTATTTCAATGGGAAGTGTGGGCCTGCTTTTGGCTGATGAGACAGGATTGTTATTGTTGTTGTTGTGTGCTTTCAAGTCATTTCAGGCTTCGGTTGACTCTGAGCGAGGGCCAGGTAAATGACCTTAGAGGGCCGTATCCGGCCCCCGGGCCTTAGTTTGTGGACCCCTGATCTACACAATGAAACTACTTTCTTCAATACTGCTCTGAGTGCTTTAAATAAAGCCCTGATGTCACATTTTCCCTTCTCAAGTACGAATTCCCTCTACCTGACATCACAGTTTCCATGAGGCTTCTATCAGCACTAGCCTTAGCTAAGACTAACAGTTTTCTGTGAACTTACTTTGAAGCAAATCGCAACCCTTACTTTGAAGCAAATCACAGTGAAGAGAAAAGTCTTATTAATGGAATAGGTATAAGTCTTGCACATGGCTAAGTATGACAGGAAAAGAGTAGAATGAAGAGGAAATGAACTCTCAATCATTATGAAAGGGACGAGGCACATTATAACTACAGATCCCTCCCTGCTGTATTAATCGAAACAGTATTTGCCACATGCTTTTGCAACTAGAAAGGGGTAGCCTAATTAGCTTAGTGAACAAAAAATATTTTAAGACAAAGAAATAATGCCATTATATAAAACAAGATACATACAATATAGTGTATTATATGATTCCTAATTACAATGCAGCCAATAGAATTCAGGACATGTATTTGTACAAATGGAAACTTATTCTAAAAATTGTCCTCTCTTATAGTCTAGGCCAGTGTTTCTCAAACTCTATTCCTCCAGGTGTTTTGGACTTCAGCTCCCAGAAATCTCAGCTTGCCAGCTGATAGGAAATGTGGGACCTGGAGTCCAAAACACCTGGAGGAGCAGAGTCTGAGAAACACTGGTCTATGGATCCAGTAGGCTTGTGCAATCTGTTATAGTAAGTCGTAGCAGGATCAAGTGTGTGTGTTAAAGAAAAACCTTATGATGTTAATTATTATGTGCAGCTGGTAATGTAGGTCAGCCAGCATTTTGGACCACACCCAATGGGGTATAACTGTATGGTTTTTAGAATACAGTTTTGGCAAAGCAATAAGCTGCTCTGAAGGATATGCAATATGCTGTAATGCTGGTATGCTCTAACAGCAATGCTCTTTGCTATGGTGGAATAGCTATTTACTCAAGATTTATGTTTTGCTTTCTCATTTGTATGAAGATGAAGAAGCCTTATTCTGTGTTATTTACAAGGACTATGTAAGTTTGTTGCACTGTTTGATTTTGTATGCAACACTGCAAATTTATTGCCTCTGCTGATAAGAGTAAAGTTTTTCTGTTCCTTTTTTCCTCTTGCCTGTGTGTCTTTTGCATGGGACTTGGCTAAAATCCGCTTCTGCGCAACACCATCTACTGTCTACTTCATGGAATTTCTGTTAATATATGGGTAGTTGAATCATGTGCAGGGGGAAAAATCATTCCTCCAGGCCTGTGTCACAGACAGGAGGAAGTTTTTGACTGCAAGGAAGCTGGCAAGCTGTAAAGCTGTTTGAAGCTGTGATGGTAAATTTTGTGAACTGATAATTAGCTTCTGGAGAGAGAGAGAGAGATGGTTTGCATTCTGAAAGAGAGAATGGCAGTTCACAGAAAAGCTCTCTGCTCCGGAAAGGCAAACAGGCAGACTTTTGAGAGTGAGATTAATGGCCAAGATTGGCCAAGTCGTGCTGAAGATTGTGCCCTGGAGGGGGCAAGGCTGTCTGCAGAGCGTGGAGAGGAAAGGTATCCATATTTCTGGAAGAAGAAAAAGAAAGTATTTTGAGACTGGTAGGAGTGGCAGAAATCGGCCAGGCTGTGTTGGAGACTGTGACCCAGAAGGGGGTCAAATATTGTTGTCGCGTGTCTACAGGGAATGGAGCTGAGTTAGCATCTCAGATTGCTGGAAGTGGTAGGGATCGGCCAGGGTGTGATGACAGTTTCGATCAGCAGATGGTAGCAAACCACCATGTGTTGACTAACAGTGAAGACCAGTTTGCATCCTGCAGGCTGCCAGGAAAAAGAAATGTTTCAGTGTATTGTGGTCAAGGAAAATCAGAATACACTAGGTTCTTGTGGGTTTTTTCGGGCTATAGAGCCATGTTCTAGAGGCATTTCTCCTGACGTTTCGCCTGCATCTATGGCAAGCATCCTCAGAGGTTGAGAAAGTCTGTTGGAAGTAGGAAAAATGGGTTTATATATCTGTGGAATGGCTGGGGTGGGGCAAGGAGCTCTTCCCTGCTGCAGTTAGGTGTGAATGTTTAGTGATCACCTTCATTAGCATTTGAAGGCCTGCCTGAGCCTGGGAAAATCTGTTGCTGGGAGGTGTTAATCTGTGCCTGGTTTTTTCCTCTCTGTTGTTTAGCTGTTATAATTTTAGAGTTTTTTAATACTGGTAGCCAGATTTTGTTCATTTTCATGGTCTCTTCCTTTCTGTTGAAATTGTCCACATGCTTGTGGATTTCAATGGCTTCTCTGTGTAGTCTGACATGGTGGTTGTTGGTGTGGTCCAGCATTTCTGTCTTCTCAAATAATATGCTGTGTCCAGGCTGGTTCATCAGGTGCTCTGCTATGGCTGACTTCTCTGGTTGAAGTAGTCTGCAGTGCCTTTCATGTTCCTTGATTGGTGTTTGGGCAATGCTGCGTTTGGTGGTCCCTATGTAGACTTGTCCACAGCTGCATGGTATACGGTAGACTCCTGCAGAGGTGAGAGGATCCCTCTTGTCCTTTGCTGAACGTAGCATTTGTTGGATTTTCTTGGTGGGTTTGTAGAGGGTTATGTTTCAGTGGTGGCTAGAGGAATCACCTTTGGAGAGATTGTAAAGTGGATCACCCTGGCAACAAAAGCAGTGACTCTTCACAGAAAGTCAGCAGTTTTATTGTGGCTGTGAAGCCTTCAAAGCAGGAGAATTGGCTGTTAGGCAGTGGGGCCACTCACCACATAGTGAACTCTATTAACTTGCTATCTGATATACAGAAGGTCCTAGTGCTGAGTAATGTAGAAAAAAGTTGGTACACATTCATCCCATGCTTGGGAAAAAATGGAATGGAGTCTTATGTGTGCCAGGGATTGGACATAACTTGTTGAGTGTCTCATGCCTAACTGACCATGGTGTTCAACAGAAAATTTTGCACGGTGAGCTTGGATGGGAAAGTCTGTGCCATGGGCGAGAAAAGGAACACATTGTATAAAATGTTAAATAACAAGGATTGTGATAGTACTGCTGGAGCAAATGCTGTAAGTGTATCACTGCATCACTCATGTTCTCATTATCTACACAGGGTGATGGGATATGCTGATTTTCATGGATTGCCCAAATGGCAAAAGTATGTTCTGAACTGGTAATTTCAAAATGTGACAAATTTCTGGATTGTGTCATTTGCAAAGAGATTGAAGTGAAGGCATTCCCAATGCTAAAGCAAAATAGAATTCAAACCAAAAGGCTATTTGAAATTATTCATGCAAAATTGGTGGGGCTGTTTCCAGAAAGTGATGGAAAATCAAAATTTTGTTTGGTAGCTGTGGAACATCATATAATATTTGCTTTTGTGTATTTTTTGAGAGACCAAACTGAGGTTTTTTGAGAAATTTAAGAAATAGATCAACATGGTGGAAAGGGTGTACAAACACAAGGTGGCAACTCTGATCTCAGAGGGGGAAATTACTATGACTTTTTATTGGCTAAAAGAAAAAGGAATTGGACACAAATCAACTAAATCATACACTCCTTCAGAGGATAGACTGGCAGAGAGGATAGATTTCTGCCAGTCCATTAAAGACTGCATAATGAAGGGTCCAGGACAGAGGCCATTCATGTGGCGAACCACATTATGAATAGATTGTGCTGTTCTTTAATTAACCAAACACCATATGTCGCTTTGTATGGCAAGGCATCCGATCTGAAATATTTAAAGATTTTTGGGCAGTTTGCAAATGTTTTGATTCCTGCGCAAGTCACCTTCCAAAGTGTATGTGAAGAAAGAGCAGGAAGTGGAGAGGGATACCAAGAGTTTCAGTAATGATGAGTAGGATTTGCCACCCATCCTCATACCAAGGCTCAGTAAAGCAGGGCCAGGGGGACCAGATTTCTTCGTAGTGCCCCAAGCAAGGTGAGTTTGGTCATTGGGAGTGTAAAAGGTGTAAAAGTGTGCACTGAAAGAGAGCAAACATGTCAGAATGTGAAGCAAGTAGAATGTGTGTTAAGAATAAGTGTTGAAATTGTGTCAAAGTGACTGTTGTAAATGGACCCAGAGACCAGAGTGT